CCCCCAGCGGCTCCTTCAGGTGTGACTCTGTTAGTTTAATCCCACACACAGTCCTTCCTCAGGGACACTTACAGTAACACACTTCACTGCTCTCATTAAACCCAGACAGGAGTCGACCTGGAACACTTTCAGTGGCTCGGAGCTGCAAACGCCAGGCGACTGCCAGAACCTCTCCACACATAATGAAAGGAACAAATCTCATTATGCTACAAATCACACCGGACAAGCAACTGAAAGGGATTACAGTAACAGACTGTTGGTGGAGGGAGGGAGGGAGGGAGGTTACATTGGCACTGGGTTCAGTACAGAGGCCACTATGTAAAGGGGGACTTCTGCTCCCCCCTTATTTTTTTTTAAGTTGCATAACAAAACAAAACAAAACAAAGCACTTCTTCGCTAAGGCTCGACGACGCACGTTCGTACGAACTGCTCGGAAAACGTCACGAGTTCGCTGTTCTGGCTACAGTTTCCCTGCATTGAGGAAGGCTCACAGTATACAGTTAGTTATAGTGAGCGTCCGTCCTCGGTGCGCTACGATTTGTCTTAGCATTAACCCACCTAACAAACATCAGTGGGTTTCCTTACTACCAGGATCTTCTCCGAAAACGGGTTAATATGGAGTTTGGATATGAAACGTGAGCCTCAACTGCTCAAATCTGCTGGAGGATGAATTTCAACCTGCTCGGAGAGAGCGGGGGTTCTTTAAGTGTTGTGGAAGAAACAACTGGAACAACTGGACTGATGAATATAAAATTAACTGGCAGCTAATTTGATCATCAATAAACCCCATTGTTCACACAAAAATGCCAAAAATGTTGCTTAAATGTGATTATGTGACTGTTTTTCTATCAGAAATTCATTTTCTTCTGGTTTTTCACTGTTTAGACAAAACATTTCAACATACGACTTTTCAGATTCGAGGCATTTTAAACTATTTTCTGACTTTTCTTTTAGATTGAACAATTAATTGAGAAAATATTCGGCAGATTAATCAATAATGTTCATGAGCTGCAGCCCTATTAGGAAGCTCTAGTCTTTACAGATACTTTAATTCAAGCTGCTGTCTCTGACGAACAGTCTCTACAGTCAGATGATCCTGACAGTAAGGAGCATTTCGAGGAAACCACACGAGTTTCTGTCGTTTCCTCTGAACTTCAACACATTTAAAGGTAAAGAATTAGTCTGGAGGTTAAAGTTCAGGCTCGCAGCTTTGAGGTTTCACCCACATCAGATCAGCAGCAGAGGAAATGGAGCCCTTTTAAACACGTGTCGGACAAATGAACCTGTTTTATATTTG